GTGCTGTGCACGGTGGGCTACGTTTTCCTCCAACCGGATGTAGATTTGTGCCCTAGCGTTCAAAGTCTGCATATCCGGGGGGGAATATTTGACTAAGGATGTGTGAAACTTGGTTCCCTGGATCATCGCCAACTTAAACGTTTCGATTGCCGTGGCAGGATGGCAATCTGCTATCTCCGAGGCCTCCATGTTAAACCTGGATAAGAAATCTTGCAAAGTTTCTCCCTTCCTTTGCCTTATGGTGAAAAGGCTGGCGATACTTTTCTTCTACTTCTTATTTCCGCAATACTAGGCTAAGAACATGGTGCACAAGGTCTCATAGTCAGGGATAGACTTGTGTGGCATATTCCTGAACCATTCTAACGCTGCTCCAGTTAAACTGGTAGGAAAAACCTTACACATCCACGGATCGTTATGATCGTCCAGTGCCATCTTTTGCGCATAATGATCAAGATGCCGAGAGGGGTCTCCTGCCCCATCGAACTGGGTGAAGGATGGCATAGTGAACTTCTTCGGCCTCTCCACAAGGTACACCTCATCAGTAAAGGGGGTCTTGACCAAGGAATTCTTGTGCTCTCTAGCCATCTCGGCTGGTGTCTGGACTCTCAAGAGCTTCTTTTCGTCGAAGGCATCTTGTACACGTGCGCCATCCGGAACGTCATTGGACCATACCGTAAGCCTATGGCTGGACTCGGCCTGTTTGTCCTGAGTGCGATGCGGGAGATTATCCGAAGCAACCGCCTCGGACCTCGCCCCTTGCTTTTGCTGAACCTCACTAGGTCGAACCCCGTTGGGTGGTGTCTCGTTGGCTGGAGGCTCGTGAACCGGAGGTAAATTCCGGGTGGGAGGTGGTGCCGCAGCATCGCCTGGTGGTGGTTGTGGCGTTAGCCTGGCCATGGCCGTGTGCAGCGTATGAGTCTGCTGCTAAAGCGTAGCTATCTGGGCGACACTCGTATCGTTTGCTTGCCGGAGTGTCTCAAATTGGTGCAAGAACTCTTCTCGCATCTTTTGCATCAATTCTATCTGTTGATTCATTACTGACTCTCCGTTTGACATTCCAGACACGATTAAATGATTTATTTTGAAGAACAAGTGGGAGTATATTTCTATACGGTTCCCACAGACGGCGCCAAAGTGTAGGTGCAAAATTTCGCTCAACCAGTAATGACTGAGAAAAATAAAACAACTCACTCAAAAACAATAAAAATAAATAAGAACAATGTGTAGAGAAGTGTGAAATTGCTTGATCCTTTATTGGAGGTCTTAGCCTCTATTTATATACAAAAGATTGCAAAATTATGGTAGGACTCGCGTTGCTTGCCCTCCAATTCTTTCTATATAACCATACTTTTCTAATAGAGTTCTTTCCATTGTTGAATTTTCCATACATAGAACTTGCCTTGTACAGAACTTCCTATCCGAATTTTCCTTCTACGGTAAATTCTTCAAATGGTAGGATTTGTGCATTCTTGGGCTGAATATATTTTGATCCGGCTGGGCTTGGGTAACAGGCCGGATGTTAAATACTCATATCTGGGCTGACGACAAGCTGGGCTGATGGCTTCTTGAGTCGGCCTTGATGGAATGGTCTTGGGCTGTAAATACCCTCAACTTAGGCTTGAGCACGATGGGCCTTATATGTCCTTGGCCTGTAGATATGGGTAGTGGTGACGTGTGCGTTTTCTATTGGAGGGAGTTTTTTCCCTCCACAAAATTGGTGCCTACAAATAGCACCAAAAACACAACCCATTCTTCTTCCCCATGAATTAAAGTACACACAGACACCGCGTCACAGACAATCACGTGATACAAAATCAATCATAGTGTTAAGGTCAACCCTATACTTCAATGACCACTTAGAGTAATCACTTTCCATCACAGAGACCCCAACAATAAATCTGGTATCATAATCACTGTACTCCGTAAAATGCAAATGACCTCTACACTCTGATAAATGCTGGAAATTATAAAGATTTTGACAACCTTTCATCCAAATTCAATGTATCATAGATTGCTACTGGCACTGCTCAAAGATTCTTATTTTCTTTCATTTTCTACTTCATTTTTTTGGCAGAAACATGGAATCGTCTTCCATACAACATAAAGAATATCTGTGAACGAAAACTACAAATTGTTCTGTGCAAAGTGTGCTAAGAAGTGAAAGACAAAAGAAACAAAGGAAATGAAGAAGAGAAGAAAATTGGGAGTATCAAAGCCTTTTATGTTTGTGGCCAAGAAGAAAAAAATTGGGAATATAAAAATTTATTTCTCTTTCAATATTTACTTCTCATAACAACTAGTGTTATACAAACCCAGCAAGGGCATGTTTAATATGTTTTTGATAAGTAAGGTCCCGCATAATATGAAATTGGACATAAGAGACAATAAACAAAATCAATAGGACAGGAAAGTTTCCAAGCCAACAAACATCATCAATACACTGAAATAAATAGATTTAAAGATTCAAGTTGAAGCTACAAAACATTGAAATAGCTAGTGATTTAAAATGATGGTACCATTAATCAAACGGGAAAGAGTGTCTCAATGTATGGATAGACACGACAGCGTGAAGGGTGAGGTGAAGAATAAGCAAGATGTTTTGCTAAATCATAAAGCTTCTTAAAGGTGTTATCCTTAATGTTGTAGGAAATAATCATATTGGTGCCTACAAATAGTACCAGAAACACATCTCCTTCATCTTGCCCATCAATTAAAGTACACAGACACCTCATTCGTGACAATCATCTCCTTGGAAACAAAATCAACCATGGCGGTAAGATTCACCTGATACTTCAATGACCACTTGGAGTAATCACTTTCAATCTCAGAGACAAAGACATAAAATATGCTATCATAATTTCTATTGTACTCAAGAAGATGCAAATGACCTTTACACTCGGATAACAATAAATGACCCCTAAATCGCTTTGGTGGAGATGGCATTGGGCACAATCTTTCATTATCAACATCAAAGTATAACTGTTAATGATGGATTCTGCGCAACCCGGATCTGATCTAACTTCTTGGACAGAGAGAAGAAAAGGTGATCCTACAAGCACCGGTGTGTTACCGGTGGAGTAGGCTCCGACGAAGAAGTCAGTGTGCGAACTAATCTCTTAAGAGAAATCAAGAACTTGAGTTAGGGTTTTTTGCGTACCTCCAAACGTTGATTACCCCGCCTTTTTTATAGGGCTTAGGTTAAGATGTCACGTAGAATTACTTTATTGTAATCTGTAGACTTAATCCTCATTGTAATCTTTAATCCTTATCACAATCTTTAATCCTTATCGTAATCTGTAAAGCCTATCTCAATCTGTAATCCTTATCGTAATCTACAGAGCCTATCTCAATAGTGCGTTAATTTAGCAATCTTCCCTTAATTATGGATATTTAAATTATACATCCATCAGTTGCCCCCCGTTTCGGAGGATTGCTTGTCAAACCACCGGAACGTTAATTCCAAAATATCACACAATAATATATAGTTAGAATTGCAGAGCCTTGTCCATTAGCCTGACTTATATTGTCATTTCGCGAATACAGTCGGGGGTCATAGTATCACATTGGCAGCTCGTATATGTGGCAAGCTCGTATATTTATCGTATATTGGCAAGCTTGTATATTTGTCGTAGTGCCACATTGGCAGCTCGTATATGTGGCAAGCTGCCATGCTGGTAGTCTACCGTTATGTGGCAAGCTGCCATGCCATGCTGCCGTGGCAAGCTGTCCTACTGGCATGCTGCTGTTATTTGGCAGGTTGCCCTGCTGGCATGCTGCCGTTATTTGGCAAGCTGCCCTGCCAGCATGCTGCCGTTATTTGGCAAGCTGCCCTGCTGACATGCTGTCTTTATTTGGCAAGCTGTCATGCTGGCATGCTGCCTTTATTTGGCAGGCATGCTGTTTTTATTTGGCAAGCTGCCCTGCTAGCATGCTGCCTTTATTTGGCAAGCTGTTATGCTAGCATGCTGCCGTTATTTGGCAAGCTGCCCTGCCAGCATGCTGCCGTTATTTGGCAAGCTGCCCTGCTGACATGCTACCTTTATTTGGCAAGCTGTCATGCTGGCATACTGCCTTTATTTGGTAAGCTGCCTTGCTGGCATACTGCCTTTATTTGGCAAGTTGCCCTGCTGGCATGCTGCCTTTATTTGGCAAGTTGCCTTGCTGGCATGCTCCCATTATTTGGTAAGCTACCCTGTTGGCATGCTGCCTTTATTTGGCAAGCTGCCCTGCTGGCATGCTACCGTTATTTTATATTTGATTTTATTGACATCTTTAGTCGGCTCGTCCCTTTAATAAGGAAAGTAGATTAAGACGAGTTTCACGTAGCTCGTAATAAGGTAAGTAGATGAATACGAGTTTCACTCAGCTCACCCTTTAACAGGGGAAGTAGATTACTATGAGCTTTACCCAGCTCACCTTTTAACGAGGGAAGTAGATTACTATGAGCTTCACTCAGCTCACCTTTTAACGAGGGAAGTAGATTACTACGAGCTTCACCCAGGTCACCTTTTAACAGGGGAAGTAGATTAATACGAGCTTCACCCAGGTCACCCTTTAACAGGGGAAGTAGATTACTGTGAGCTTCACTCAGCTCACTCTTTAACAAGGGAAGTAGTTAACCCCTCATCTTTTTATAAGGGAAGTAGATTACTATGAGCTTCACTCATCTCACCCTTTAACAAGGGAAGTAGATTAATACGAGCTTTACCCAGGTCACCTTTTAATAGGGGGAGTAGATTACTATGAGCTTCACTCAGCTCACCCTTTAACAAGGGAAGTAGTTAACCCCTCATCTTTTTATGAATGAAGTAGATTACTAGGAGCTTCACTCATCTCACCCTTTAACAAGGGAAGTAGATTAATACGAGTTTCACCCAGGTCACCCTTTAACAGGGGAAGTAGATTAATATGAGCTTCACTCAGCTCACCCTTTAACAAGGGAAGTAGTTAACCCCTTATTTTTTTACGAGGGAAGAAGATGAAGCTGACCCTTCATTCTTTTAAGGGGGAAAGAGGTGTGGTCTTGACATGGGAGTCATCTCCTCTGATGGTTGTCTCGGGATGTTGGCAAATCGTTGACACTTGTCGTACTTTTTAACGAAGTCAAGTGCATCTTTCTGCATGGTAGGCCAATAGTATCCTAGTCGGATGGCCTTGTTAGCAAATGACCTACCCCCAACATGGTTTCCACAAACTCCTAGGTGGATCTCCCTTAAAATGTAGTCAACTTCCTCGCTAGAAACGCATCGTAAATACGGTATGGAGAAGCTTCTCTTGTAGAGCACCCCTTTGATAAGCGTATACCTAGCTGCCCGCATCTTGACCTTTCGAGCTTCTGCTCGGTCTGTTGGTAGCACCCCACCCTTGATATATCTGATGATAGGATCTGCCCATTCCACACTCAATATCGCTTGTTGCACTTCAATTTGTCTCTCCTGAGATATAGATGGTTCTTCCAAATATTCCAGTGGTATATTCTTATTGATCTCAGGTTCAATGCAGTAGCTAGCCGGGCTAAAGTGTCTGCTTTCCCATTCTCTTCTCGTGGTATTTGATGAATTGAGAATCTTTGGAAGTGATTCTTTAATTCCTTTACCTTTTGTAGGTAACTCTTCATCTTCTCGTCTCGTGCCTCATATTCCGCTTGAACTTGTCCAGCGACCAGCTCGGAGTCGGTGTACATATTTAATTGCTCAACCCCTAGGGCATTTGCCACTTTTAATCCTACTATCAAGGCTTCGTACTCTGCTTTGTTGTTGGTTGCTTTGAAACCAAACCGAAGTGCATATTGTACACTTTCTCCCTCTGGGGAGACAAGAACAAGCCCGGCTCCGCTAACCTGAACATTAGATGACCCATCCACGAACAAGTCCCAGACTACTTCTGGGCCCATCTGCTCACTTAAACCTGGTTCTGTCAAAAATTGGGGTTGTTTCTCCTCTTCTGGAGGGGTAAATTCAGCTAAGAAATCAGCCAACACCTGAGCCTTTACTGCTGTTCTTGGCTTATACTGAATGTCGAACTCTTTTAACTCTACTGACCACTTCATCAGTCGACCAGAGCTTTCTGGCTTGTGTAGGACCTGTCGAAGGGGTTGATCTATTAGGACCACTATCGTATGCGCTTGAAAGTATGGTCTCAGTTTCCTGGCGGACACAATTAAAGCAAAGGCCAACTGTTCCATCCTTGGATATCTTTCCTCCACACCCCTAAGTGCTCTGCTCACGAAGTATACTGGCCTTTGGACCCCTTTTTCTTCTCGTATCAGAGCTGAACTGACAACTGTCGTGGAGATTGCAAGTTATATGTATAGTTCCTCTCCCGGTATGGTTCGAGACACTAGTGGGGGAGAACTAAGGTATTGCTTTAGTTCTTTGAACGCCTGCTGATAAACGCCGAATATTGCATATTCAAGCGCCCTTAATTGCATTATTTAAGTCCATTGTTTGCTTATATTATGTAGATTACTTTCATTTGCATGTTTTTGTATATTTTCAGGTCCATTGACCAAAAAGAAGCAAGAAGGATGCTTTGTGGAGTTTTAGCCATCAAAAGGCACAAGGCTGAATTTCTGGTAGTAGTAGATTCTGAACTTTGATCGCCATTTTGACCTTGAAAACTTGAGAACTGGACTTCTATCATAACATGACATATTTAGAGCTCTGAATCAGCTTTCCAAATCTTCAAGTGGTTCATCATTCAGAGTTCAGAGCAGAGAGTTATGATCTTCTTATCATAGGTGCTCAGAACTACCTGGCAGCAATAAAGTTCTGCCTTGTTCTTCAATTTCAACCAAATAGACTTGAGAATTGGATCTCTACCAAAACATAAAGTTTTTAGAGCTCTGAATTAACTTTCCAAATCTTCAAATGGTTCATTATTCGGAGTTTGGAGCGCAAAGTTATGGCCATTTTACCAAAGTAGGTCTTGGCGGAGCAAGGCAAGAATGGAGCATTCTGCTCCAATTTCGAGTGCTCGAACCCTTATTGCGAGTGCTTGAAATTGGGGCAGAATTGCATCAGGAAATGGCCCATTTTCAGCCACTTGCATCTTGGGTTCCTCAATTCTAATTTTCCTCTTTAATGGTTGGTTAGAGATGTTGGTTAGTGGGGGTTTTTAGAGCCTTATCTATACAAGAGAAGAGAAGGGAGGCGACACAGGATTAAAAAGCTTCATTTTACAAGATAGAGGAGGGAGAGGAGAGAAAGAAGGAAGTGTTCTTCAAGAAAAAAGAGGGGAGCACGAAAATGGAGTTGGAGGCCTTGCTTCTTCCTTCATTTAGAGCTACCATGGGTAACTAACTCTTCTTTTAGGGAGGTGATGAAGGCCCTCCCTTGTAAGCATGTCCTAGGGTAGTCTATTTTGGGGGATTGCAATGTATATTTCTATAGTCTTTTTCATAACTAAGAGCCTTTCATTTGTTGCAATGAATGTTTATATATGTATGGTTGATTTCTTCAAGTTCATTATCTTGATTGTTAGGTGATGTCTTGTATGAATCTTATTGCTTGAGTTTTCATGGTGAGAATGGGAACAAGGTTATGAAATGGTTTCATGGCATGTTGATAGGTGACTTTTATAGACCATTGCTTAGGAAATCCTTTGATGGTGTATGCTTAATCTCTAGCTCCATGTGCTTCATCATTTTGTCAAGAACTTGATAGTCTTTCATTTAAGTAAATGTGTATAAGCTACACCTTAGTTAGGTAGTCTAAGCATGTTTACCCTTTTGATAGATTATACTTGTTTGAGACTTAACGTACTTCTTGATCAATTACATGGCAACCATGTGTTTTTATGTAATTCTTGACCATTATATGTTATTTTTCCCCTTAATTAGTTCTAATCTAGCATGTGTATAGGGATGGAGACGGATTCATCTCCCTAGTCTTCTCTACTTGCATTTCACCTCTTTACATTCCTTGCAATTTATTGTTTTATGCACTCCTAATTTCCTAGTTTAGTGACTATCAAACAAACCCTTATTACCCCTTATCATTCTAAGAACAATTCTAGACTCTTAGGTTGCCATAGACTAGCGCAGTCCCAGTGGTTCGACTTACCCAACCAATAGCCCTATTTTACAATGATTCGTGCTAGCCCTTAATTCCAAAAATTGATCGGTTGATCAACTATAAATCAACCTTCGCAATAGCACAAATCATTGTAAAATAGGGCTATTGGTCGGGTAAGTCAAACCACTGGGACTGCGCTAGTCTATGGCAACCTAAGAGTCTAGAATTTTTCTTAGAATGATAAGGGATAATAAGGGTTTGTTTGATAATTACTAAACTAGGAAATTAGGAGTGCATAAAACAATAAATTGCAAGGAATGTAAAGAGGTGAAATGCAAGTAGAGAAGACTAGGGAGATGAATCCGTCTCCATCCCTATACACATGCTAGATTAGAACTAATTAAGGAGAAAAATAACATATAATGGTTAAGAATTACATAACAACATATGGTTGCCATGTAATTGATCAAGAAGTACATTAAGTCTCAAACAAGTATAATCTATCAAAAGGGTAAACATGCTTAGACTACCTAACTAAGGTGTAGCTTATACACATTTACTTAAATGAAAGACTATCAAGTTCTTGACAAAATGATGAAGCACATGGAGCTAGAGATTAAGCATACACCATCAAAGGATTTCCTAAGCAATGGTCTATCAAAGTCACCTATCAACATGCCATGAAACCATTTCATAACCTTGTTCCCATTCTCACCATGAAAACTCAAGCAATAAGATTCATACAAGACATCACCTAACAATCAAGATAATGAACTTGAAGAAATCAACCATACATATATAAACATTCATTACAACAAATGAAAGGCTCTTAGTTATGAAAAAGACTATAGAAATATACATTACAATCCCCCAAAATAGACTACCCTAGGACATGCTTACAAGGGAGGGACTTCATCACCTCCCTAGAGGAAGAGTTAGTTACTCATGGTAGCTCTAGATGAAGGAAGAAGCAAGGCCTACAACTCCATTTTTGTGCTCCCCTCTTTTTGCTTGAAGAACACTTCCTTCTTTCTCTCCTCTCCCTCCTCTATCTTGTAAAATAAAGCTTTTTAATCCTGTGTCGCCTCCCTTTTCTTCTGTTGTATAGATAAGGCTCTAAAAACCCCCACCAACCAACATCTCCAACCAACCATTAAAGAGGAAAATTAGAATTGAGGAACCCAAGATGCAAGTGGCTGAAAATGGGCCATTTCCGGATGCAATTCTGCCCCAATTTCGAGCACTCGCAATAAGGGCTCGAGCACTCGAAATTGGAACAGAATGCTCCATTCTTGCCTTGCTTCGCCCGGACCTACTTTGGTAAAACGGCCATAACTTTGCGTTCTAAACTCCGAATGATGAATTGTTTGAAGATTTGGAAAGCTAATTTAGAGCTCTAAAAACTTTATGTTTTTATAGAGATCCAATTCTCAATTCTGGTTGGTCAAAATTGAAGAACAAGGCAGAACTTCATTGCTGCCAGGCAGTTCTGAGCACCTATGATAAGAAGATCATAACTCTCTGCTCCGAACTCCGAATGATGAACCACTTGAAGATTTGGAAAGATGATTCAGAGCTCTAAATATGTCATGTTATGATGGAAGTCCAGTTCTTAAGTTTTCAAGGTCAAAATGGTGAGCAAAGTTCAGGATCTACTACTGCCAGAAATTCAGCCTTGTGCCTTTTGATGGCCAAAACTCCACAGAGCATCCTTCTTGCTTCTTTTTGGCCAATGGACCTGAAAATATACAAAAACATGCAAATGAAAGTAATCTACATAATATAAGCAAATAATGGACTTAAATAATGCAATTAAGGGCGCTTGAATATGCAATATTCGGCGCTTATCACACCCCCAAACTTACATTTTGCTAGTCCCTTAGCAAAACTAGAAAGAAAATACTTAATGAAATGACAATAAATCTCCTCTTTCGTGAGAGCGACGGTTGCATTTAGCATATGCAACAAGCCTTTTAAACCCCTAGGCATCCCTAGAGGATGAGTGAAGTCTCGTGAGGGTTTAACAGAAATGATACCCACAAACATCAACATGGAGCGTGAAGATGCACGAAGCTCATTTGAAAACTTAGAATATAAAGAACACTGGAGATGGAATAATTATGAAGACTACCTTGTGTATATGAAGCATTGATAGAACAAAATAGTTATTCAAGTTTCAACTTTTATGCATTAGTATCATAGTCTATATAAATACTTCAATTGTCATATCTATAATAGAAATCATCTCAAGCTTCAGTGAAAGTGGATTGGATTCTCAACATGCGGCTTTTACTTTCTTTTCCAATTCCAAGGCACAAGTTTTCAAATCACTGAATTCCCTTTTAAATGAAGTCCCTAAGGCATGAATTTATTACAGAACAAAGCTGACAATTTATTGTTACTCAGAAGTGAAACATAGAATGGTTGTGCAATGCTGAAATCCTTTAAGCTTTCTAACCAACCTATGTAGCAAGCGTTAGGCCAACAGCTCCCAAACCAGATGGCTTTAGGGTGTTAAATGAAGAGACACTCCAAAGGGCTTAATAGCTCAAGTTAGAAAGGTTACGAACTCCAGCGAACCATGCTTATTACAATTTTTTTGAATGACCATGCATTATTTAAGTCCTTTAAGCTTTCTAATCAACCCCTGTAGTAAGCGTTAGGCCAACAACTCCCAAACCAGACGGCTTTAGGGTGCTAAGTGTAAAGACACTCCTAGGGCTTAATAGCTCGAGTTGGAAAGGCTACGAACGTCAACTGGTCATTATTTTCTTTCTTTCTCAGTGTTTTTTTTTTATTATTTTATTATTATTTTTTTTAATAGATACATGCCAAAGGTATCCATCTGTCAGGTTCATCAAATCAGATTAACTAGGCCAAGGTTAAGGTCAATCAAGTTGCATGCCTCACAGTTAAGTTTCCAATGTGCATCTGTGTATTGTGAAGCATGGAAGAGAATGATACTTGAAGATAATCTAATTGAAGCATTTATACAAACCTTTTTGAATCCATATGTTCATTTCAGATTTTTCTCAATTCAAAACTATCATTTACCTTTATACACAAA